GCTGTGGTAGTCAATGCATGCATGGCCAAGATCAGACAGTATCTAAAGAACGACACATTACCAGAGCCAACGAAAATTATACGCACAGCCTGGCACAGTGCCCCATATATGATGGGCTCCTACTCAAACATTCCTGTAAGTGCTTCCATTGACGACCCCAGCACACTTGCAGAACCCGTTCCTAGTGAGGAGGAACCCAGACTGATGTTTGCTGGGGAGGCCACTCATGCAAACTTCTACTCTACTTCCCACGGTGCCTTGCTGTCAGGACAGAGAGAGGCTGACCGAATCATAGCATTCCTGTCTCACTAATAAATGCAAGAAAACTCGTTATATAGTTGATGATCTATTTTGTTTAAATATTTAAAGGCTAAATGAATGCACTAATGTTTGATAATGATGTTAAGAAAATTATATATAATATCATGTGCCAAATGTATTTTCTAGACAACAAATTATAATATATACTATTCAGTGTTCACGGGGTAAATACATTAAAAACGCATTATTTTATTGAAAATCCCCATATTTACTTATAAAACATCCAAGAGATGGCACTGTGGCATGTAAACATTGGCGCCGAACCACAGTGTGCCGAACAGAGCATCAACCTCTGTCGTGCAGTGTTCTGTATTTTGATTAAATGTGCAATGAATGACGCACTCGTTCACTTCCGAGAGCGAGTGAAAATGTCGAAAATTTTCCTCTTTGATGCGAAATGCGTCGGCCGGGCATTTCATTATTTACGAAAAGTAAAGTCAGTAGGTACAGGAACTGGTCACGTCGGTGACGCCCCATTCATGTCCATCAACGAAGAAGGCGGGGCTTATTCTGATTACGGAGATGCGAAAAATCAACAGAAGGACGTAGCGCAGTGCGCTAAACAGCGTGTTATTTTCGTTTTTGTGCCAAACTATCGTAGGAAACCGTTCTAGCCTAGCAGAATGCCCTAGTTCCTGAGATCGGCGATTTGGTGCTGTTATGGGTCCCCACCTATAAAAATATCAAAGAGAGGTGCGGCGTAGGCTGTGATTGGAAGACACAAAGTGTCAATCCTCCGCGCGCCTCGGCATCATGGCCGCATCACGTCTAGCATAAGTCCTATGTCGTTTAAGTCATATATACAGAACAGAAATGAAATACCCTACTAGGGACGTGATAAATGGGTACAATGACAATGACACATGGGTAGATGGAGTTTACAAACCGAGCCGCTCTGGCGCAATCCTAGTTTGTGGATTTCATTTTCGCAGATGTGGGGGTAGGCTGCAGGCACGTGAAAATCCAGAATTGGGCCATTACGGCGATTCAGCAACTGAATTTCTTATCACGCGCGCACGCACGCACGCACACACGCACGCACGCACGCACGCACGCACACACACACGAGCTTCATGATTGACTTATGCAATGATGAAGCTTCTGATATCCTATGCCTTGGTACGTATGTGTTATCGCTCTAGAGCTGCTGACAGGTATACAGCTACACTGGCTGAAAGGGTACTCTGCACTATTCTTTGGTAAGATCAACTAGTCTAACTATTCTAATTCCTATAGTCTACTTAATTGGCCTACGAGTGCGCACTTTCACCAATTTCTACTTGTGTGCGTTGTCACTTCCACTCTAATATTACAAAATCTCATCTAACTCAGCTACACTATGGTCTCTGCACGGTATGTACTCTGATTCATGATCAAGACGAGTGGTAGCGATATACTTGGCGAGTCAACTTGTAATATTGCCTTTTCCTATAAGCTATGTGCACATAAGCTAAGACGTACATACTGATATAATACTATTTAGTATACAGATAAACCTGAAGGTGCGCAGGTGAGAATATGTTTACATGACACGTGAGGTTAAAATATAGGTCAACAGGCTATAGCCTGTTGGCTGTGCTCTATAGACTATAGAGCACAGTACGTGATCTGTGATCCAGAGAAGTTGTTCTAACCCGTGAAACTGTTACATAGGCATTTACAAGTCGCCACTATCTATTAATACTTATAATAGTAATATTTTCAAAATAATGTTTTCTAATTCTCCATTTTACATATCTGTGATCTTAGGAGTTGCCGCCACGGCAATGACCGAAACAGTTGTCATTGTTGGAGCAGGCATAGCAGGCTTAGGAGCTGCCAAGAGGCTCGTGGAAGCTGGAATCACAGACATAATCATTCTAGAGGCGCAAGACAGAATTGGAGGGAGAATTCACAGCGTTCCCTATGGAAATGGCTTCATTGACTTTGGTGAGTTTTTTACTATTATTAATAATTGTTGATTCTTTTTAGTCGTTGATGCTCATAGCTTAGTTTATTTACTAATGCCTGAGTTTTAACCTAATGCAGGTGCACAGTGGATACATGGTCAGCTAGGCAACCCTGTGTACAGGCTAGCACGAGAACATGGTCTTCTAATGGAGCCAGACTGTTACGAGGCAGATCTACATAAAACGTTTCCCCACCTCTGCATAGAGGAGGAAAATGTCATTTTGCTGACTCCCCAGGGTGAGCGGATGCCCGAGCAGGTCATCGAGGGTACAGAACTTGTTATCGATGAGATGATGACAGAAATGGAAGAGTTACCACCGGATCACCCCGGCTTCACCTCTGTGGGTGACTACACTTGCAGGCGCTTTAATGAGAAAACAGGTGAACACAAGTTTCATGATTAGCGGCATAGTGTGCAGCACCGAATACGGTGACATTATTTAAACTACTGGTGAATTCAGCTCTCCTGGTTTGCTGACGTATAACTGAAAACTGAGCATGGACGGCGAAGCTGAGGCTACATGCTGGGGTGGCATGAGCTAGAAAACCTAATTAATATAAAACTGGATGAGAGCTAGACCCCAAATGAAGACACAGGTAAACTCATAGTGTGGGGGAACGATGTGAAACCTGGTTCTAGCATTAAGACACATCGGTGAGTGTGTCATGAGTCTAGAAAGATTATATTGAACTACAAACCGTAAACAAATCTAAGGATAGGCCATTCAAACAGTTGCATTGCTTGGCTGACGTACGTATTGCAGATCAGCTATACCTGAGCGAGATAGACAAGGCAAGGTACATGGCCGTGTACCACTCCTGGCGAATGGCACAAATGATAGACGTTGGCAATAGCCTGGATACATTGGACATAGCTGGCTGGAACCAGTACCAGGAATGCCCTGGTAATCAATATGTAGAGCTGGCCAATGGCTTCAGGTAACTGAACAACAGAAATGCATTAAAGATTTTGGTCGGCTATACTTTCAAGCTTCAACAAAGACATCCGTCTATAAATACGGTATTCAACCGTCCTAGAAGCATGATATTTCTTGCCCACGTATAGTCTATTAAACTAGCCTATATGATAAACGGTTAAACCAATACCCTTTCAGCACTAGACATCATTTATGACTATAGAGTGCTCCATAAATAGAGGAAATTGCCCAATATCAATAAGATTTAGACAGATTGTGGCAATCCGAACTCGTGATCAGCTGCAGAAATTGAGAAAAGAAAAACAATGGCTGCCATGTGGAGATCTATATATGCCTGTTTATTTTTTTTAAACAGTGTCACAAAAGACTGCTGGATATTATTCCAAGCTCTGAGATTTTTTCCTGTGACTAGAATTTCAATTGTGTGCACATCGGTCCACCCATGACGTATTATTGTGCTATAAAAGCATTCAGCATTATTTAATCAGGTTTAATATTTACATCGTTGCTCATATTCACTTTTTAAATTTTGCAGTTCAATAATACAAGTGATCTCGGATGACATACCTGATGGAACCATTAAGCTCGGCACGCCTGTAGTTAAGGTACAGTTAACAGATGGCAGCACTGGACCTGTTACCGTGACAACAGCCAATGGGGCACAGTTTCAAGCTGCGCAATGTAATTATCAACAAGCTGGCTAGGCTCTCTCAAGGCTGTGTCATCTACCATGTTTGAACCACCTCTATCCACAGGAAGCTGAGAGCAATTACACAGGTTAGGGTTCAGCACAATGAACAAAATCCACTTGCAGTTTGCAGAGCCTTTCTGGGGGAAAAATGTCGATGGACTACAGTTTATTCCAGAGGAAGGGGCAGAGACAGACCTTCAGGATGAGAACCAATCCATGTCTGAGATATGGCACAAAGCCATTCCTGGATTTGAAGTTCATCCAGCAAAAACAGGCTTACTAGTTGGCTTTTTAGCTGGAAAAGCTGCCGAATACATGGAAACTCTAGATGATGCTGTGGTAGTCAATGCATGCATGGCCAAGATCAGACAGTATCTAAAGAACGACACATTACCAGAGCCAACAAAAATTATATGCTCAACCTGGCACAGTGCCCCATATATGATGGGCTCCTATTCAAACATTCCTGTAAGTGCATCCATTGACGACCCCAGCACACTCGCAGAACCCGTTCCTAGTGAGGAGGAACCCAGACTGATGTTTGCTGGGGAGGCCACTCATGCCACCTTCTACTCTACTTCCCACGGTGCCTTGCTGTCGGGACAGAGAGAGGCTGACCGAATCATAGCATTCCTGTCTCACCAATAAATTCGAAAAAGCTTGTTATAAAATTGATGATATATTTTGCTTTACAAAAAATGATTATACTAACATGCTTGTGTTTGACAACGAGGCATTTAGAAAATGACATATAATATAGTGGGTCATACGTGTTTTATAGGGAGTAAATCCAGGGAAAATTTAAAAAGCAATTTCTTGAAAGCTATTCTGTGTTTATAAACAAGTTAATAAACTATTCAACGTTCTATCAACCTTTCCTCTGGATGTTCAGCGCATTTACATTATCGACTGCGAATCGGCGAATGTATTAACATTTCAACCACCGTGTGTGTGTGCAGGGAGATGTAAATACTCATTTTTGCATGAATTAATTCGCGTCAGGTGTAGCACGTGTGCCGCCGATAGCCGAAACACGTGCAGAAATAATCTTCCTCTGGGAGGAGGGACACAACCCCTGATTGCTATTATCTGAGTTACGAGTAGCTGCATGGCAAAAAGTTGATCAACTCACTGACCAAAAGTTGCGAAATTATAAAGTGTTCTTTCTAAACTCTCCACTAGTAGTTTAGCACTCAACTTTTATGTTTAAACTGCCGACCTTTGATTGAATAGTTAAAAAGTTGATCAACTCATTAACTTTTTAACTAAAACTTGATAGTGTAAACAGCAACCCAGCTTTACTCAAAGACCCATGTTCCACTGCTTCCCCACCTGCTCTATTAACCCACCAGTTTCAGACACTGCTGCTGCTGTCAGGGTCAGCATACATGGTTTATACAGACCATTTGTGAAATAAGCCAAAAAGATACATGTCGCTCATATCTCGTTTTAAATCTAAGTCTTTACGTCCTTCAATATCATTTTTCCATATCTCAATTAACAGGTGAGATGATGCCATTTCTGGAGACAAATGATCTATAACTGTGAATTGTCAATATTGTGCATAATTCACACTGTGTGGTATGCCACAATGCAAATAGTGTGAAATATGAATAAAGATGTTTAATAACCAGGGATGGGAATGACAATTTGTGTTTTCAGCTGAAAATAGCCGGGATCCAGCGGGGGGGGGGGGCGGTCAGGTCCAGGGCAAAGCCTGGTCAGGGGTTCAGGAAGTTTTTTAATTTTCACAACTTACAATTAAGGCATAAAATTGCATTAGGAGACACATACAGAACAGAATTGTTACAGAGCATATTACAGTACACTGCAGGGAGTATATCTTGCACTGTCATTATCATAACACTAGAACTAATAATCAATACAAAAATTTACTTACATTCTGCAAACAAAATTATTTTAATGTACACTTCCACACTGTCCCAAAGACTAATCTTTATATAATATAAGATGTTCATTGTCCAGGCAGTTTCAAATTTGTTTCTGGTCACTACAGTAGATATTTTATCATATTGAACAACTTTAGCGGCTTGTCCTGCTGCCAAGGCAAGTCTGTGAGCCCCACAGTGATCAGACATCAAGAAAGGAAACGCTTTATTTTCTACGCCAAAGGTTGCCCAAAAATCCTCCCTTGCGTGCACGATATAATATTCCTAACACCCTAGGAGCTAGGGCGCAATCGCGCGACATTAATTTTGTTATCGTTTTCAAAGGTCACCGAAAAAGGCAGCTCGCGACACCACCTTTTATGGTTATGTATATATGTATTATAAACAGAGCTTCGTTGGCAAGAAGGGAAACAGTTCGTACCTACGTTTCCTACCACGTGAAACAGTCGCAGAGCCTGGGCCGCCTACTTCATAAAACGAGCCTCAAGGCCACGCGTGACGCGGCGGCTTTTGATGTACACGACCAATCGATCGCGTACTATATACGGCCTGCGTAGCACGCGCGGCACACATACACACACACTTGCAGCGTCAAATAAATGCACACACTGGCCAATTAGAATAAACCCAGTTTGGAAGTTCTAGTCTTTGAAAACGCACCAGCAAACCGCCCTGAGTGATTCACTCAGGCGTTCCTCCGCATAAAACCATACGGACGCTTTGTAACCCTATCCTCCTGGGTTTGGGTTACATTATTGTATCTAGTGCCATCCTAGCCACAAGTTCCCTTCTCGCTTAACACTACATTGGCGAGAGGTAGTCCTACGACCTGTAACAGTCGGAGAGCCTGGTCGGTTTAGTGTTGGATCACATCATCCAATCACCAATGGCAATGATGTCATCCACACGCACTGTCACACTGGGTCACTCTGTCACCTCACACAGATGACACACTGTCATACAGTCACAGTGACACTGACAGGCACTTGCAATAATAAAATGATTGTAAATAAACGCAATTTTCTTCACGTTTATGTATTTTCTATTGAATAGTAATTGGCAGTGGCTACGCGTCCGGAACCGGTCGCCTAGCCTCCAGGCTACGCATCCGGACATCCACTCACAGTGATCACACGACTCGCGTACACGCATGATTGCGCCACGGTACGGTCTGCGGATTGCCGAAAATATACAATATATGTTAATGGTTAGGGTTAGGTTAGGTTAGGGTTAGGTTAGACCTCCCCTTGATACCTACCTATATCACGACATTAATGACATTAAAGTTGGGAACGCTCCTAATGGAGCGTTAGCCGTAAAATATATGCACTGCTGCCGTCTATCATCCTGCTGCCAAGGCAAGTCTGTGAGCCCCACAGTGATCAGACATCAAGAAAGGAAACGCTTTATTTTCTACGCCAAAGGTTGCCCAAAAATCCTCCCTTGCGTGCACGATATAATATTCCTAACACCCTAGGAGCTAGGGCGCAATCGCGCGACATTAATTTTGTTATCGTTTTCAAAGGTCACCGAAAAAGGCAGCTCGCGACACCACCTTTTATGGTTATGTATATATGTATTATAAACAGAGCTTCGTTGGCAAGAAGGGAAACAGTTCGTACCTACGTTTCCTACCACGTGAAACAGTCGCAGAGCCTGGGCCGGCTACTTCATAAAACGAGCCTCAAGGCCACGCGTGACGCGGCGGCTTTTAATGTACACGACCAATCGATCGCGTACTATATACGGCCTGCGTAGCACGCGCGGCACACATACACACACACTTGCAGCGTCAAATAAATGCACACACTGGCCATTGTCTGACAATCTCAAACAGTGAACTAAGCCGTGTCTATATTGAATGAAGGTACTGTTGGCCTGTAAAATGAAAATTTGTACATTCTAACCCCCCCTAAAATTTTCTCTCAACGGATTTAGACGTTTCACAAAATCGGCCCTGGGACTGTGAAATCCGCGTATTTCCGCGGATCCGCGGAAGATTCTCATCCCTGAATAACGTTAGATTCTGTTTCTTATGCCTAGGTATACAGGTCGTTTAGTATAAATGCTCCAAATAAATCACAGTGTTACACATAGACACACAGGTATGCACATATGCGCGCATGCACGCATGCAAGCATACAAACACACACGCACATATGAATATAGAAACTTTGTACTTACGTCTAATAATCCTCTGTGTTTCACTGTGGATCTGATTTCTCCCTTCTGCACTCTTCCGAGGTCTCTTATCTTTTACCCCTTTGTCTTTATTATTCTGTTAACAAAAAGATCTTTACTAGGAAACAAGAACACAAACATGCTATCTAGTAACTATAAGTAACTTTACTTACAGCATTTTCGTATATCATAACATTTATTACCAATTAAAAATGAAATTACATAAATGAACTGTATTCAGTCCTTATTCAGCAGAACACCATTTATACAGGCTGGTTTTGCTAAAAATATAACTGTTTACCAATATATGCTATCTATAGATTTATAGTTACATGGCAATAAACCATGCCAGTAAGTGGAAGTTCATGTTCCTCATGTTCTACCTTATCTGACTTTTGTCTGTATCCTTTCCTTGCATTCTTCTTAATGCTGTCTAAACTATAGCCATCTTCTTCATCTACAAAACAAAGTACTTTTAGGTAGGAATAGAATATCACATTCTATGCAAGTAAACAGGACAGCTCTGGTTGTAAAAGCCAGCAATGACTAATCCTGTTTTTCTCTGATGTGTCACTCATATCTATTATATATCATGCTTCATAGCTATATTATACAATTAATAAATGATTGTAAGGGAAATAGAATGTTTTCAACAGACAAAATCATTGTTATTGTCTAGGGCAACATTGATTTTTAGGTCTACACAACTCCATGTTGCACAAAAACCATGCAGATTAAGAGTAATACTAGGGATCTTCCACCATAACCATGTTAACAATAGACCTATAGCATGCTGCAATTTTCACATTTCTCCTAGATATATTTTGCACCACAAATGATCTTATTTTGTACACTAACAATTTTTTAGACAATTTAATTCTATTAAAGATGTAAATTAGATATGTAAACACAAATTCTAGGACTAGGGCAAATATAGATTGTGTGCTCAGTGGGCTACATTGATTTCAGTAGACATAATTGGTTTAAGATTCAAGAGACCTGACAAACTTCATTCTGCACTCTGCACCTTTCAATTACAAACGTGTTATTTATGCAGAACACGTTCATTCATTCGTCAACTTTGACTAAGCAATATAGCTAACTCAAGCTGTATACATTGTTAAAACAGTGTGCAAATATATATATGCATTATTAATTTTTTAGGCATTTGCAGCACTATGAAAACATCATAAGCACATTATTGCTACATAATCTACTTTGCAGTATAAGAATAACTATACTAGTCATGCAGTTACTACGATCAACTATTTTAATATCGATAACAGCAGTAAATAGTAGGCGAGTAGTAGTACTAGTACTTACTAAAGTGAGGAGAAGTTCACATTTACATTCTTATTGAGTTAGCATGTCAGGCTTCCATAGTATTTACTCAGGACTGATAATAGATATAGTTTACTAACCTGATCCATCCATAGCCAGTGGGCCACTGCATTCATTGTCACTGAATTCGTGAACATCTGACTTCCTATCGTCATCTAATAAATCCTCAGAATCAAATACATCGCTGTTCATAATTCTGAGTGGCAAAACCTAAAGGAGGAAACAACTATATGACATCATCTGGAAAACCATGTACACACTACTCACTAGTGATGTGATGCGATGTATAGGCTCAGCATTAACTTGTGAGTTGTGTATAAATTAGGAAACAGAGCAGTGTATACTCTATAGACATAACACAGTTCACATCAACAGTACACGTAATAGAGGGCCTAATTAGCTAGGGGCCTACAGCACTATAGTCTAGAGGCTTCATCACTCAACATACTGTAATGTGGATCGATAGGGCTATACTACTACTACTTCTGATAGGGTCTATGTCCCCCAGGGTACTGCCGGAATGTACCCTGGGTACGGTCCGGTATACCAGAACGTACCCTGGTAACTATCTAATATGCCGGACAGTACCTCGCCTACTCCAAACCGTGCCCTGACTTTCAGCCGATGTGGTAATACATACCGCATGTCGGCAGGAAACGCGCCGCTTTATGCTCCCGTTCCTTGTTTCCGGTCCGTTCCCGCAAAATATTTGTAACCCTTATACCCTGTTACGTTTCACCTCCCGACCCTTTCTACAAGTGTCAGCGAGTCTATACGTTTCCAACCCATTAAGATAATCATACAAATTTTCCTTTTCCACCACAACACTTGGAGCCATCTTTCAAAAATATTTTCGCGAAAATGCGCGAAAATGTCGTAAACATTAGGAAAGGAAAACGCATTCCCGATCATCGCGATATTTGCAAAAGGATTGCGCGCATCAGTGTATATAGGTTGAAATTTTTTCTTCTTTTTGGTTTCACAGTTTCATACTCCAATCCAACTTTATAAAGATTTTATACAGGTCTGTATGTATATTTCAAATTTTGCGACATCAGTAGTGGGCGGAACAGGGACAGTCAGGGTACGGTAGGGAGTAAGCGAGGTACGGTCCGGCATATCACTATCAGATAGTTACCAGGGTACGTTCCGGTATACCGAACCGTACCCATGCAGGGTACGTTCCGGCAGTACCCTGGGGGACATAGACCCTATCAGCACTACTAGTACTACTAGTCTAGGGTATAGGTTCTTTATCCGATTGGCATGTAATTTTTTAATCTGTGTGAGTTTAAATTAAGATATAGTTACAGTATCATATACAAATATAAAGTGAGGGAGAGCTACTCAGCTAGTAGACCGAATAATTCTGTCCCATATAACCTTTTTTATATTTTGGTGAGGGTTATTGGGACAGAACGGGGTTCATTGAAATTTCGTGAGATCGCATGCGCTGCTAATGCGGCCCGTACGCCGCTATTGGCATAAAAAAAAACCTACCGTTCCCTTCTACATGGCTTTACCTTGCTACTGATATGTGTACACATTCACTTCAATCGTTATTCACTTCTTAAATGATTGTTTTTCAGAAACCCCACTTCATTTAACATTAGTAAATTACGTTCGCCATTTACAAACAATCAGACCAATCAGAGCGAGTCTTACAATAGCCCCTGGTTCTCGCTTATATCTGTGGCACTGCAGGAGGCCTGATAGACTTACTCTGATTGGTCCGATTGTTTGTAAATGGCAAACGTAATTTACTAAAGTTAAATAAAGCGGGGTTTCTGAAAAACAATCTTTTAAGAAGTGAATAACGATTGAAGTGAATGTGTACACATATAAGTAGCAAGGTAAAGCCATGTACAGAAGGGAACGGTAGGTTTTTTTTCGTGCCAATAGCGGCGTACGGGCTGCAATAGCAGCGCATGCATTTTGCATGCGATCTCACAAAATTTCAAGGAACCCCGTTCTGCTCCAAATAACCCTCACCAAAATATAAAAAAGGTTATACGGGAGAGAATTATTCGGTCTACTCAGCTAGCTGAGTCGGAGGGAAAAAGAGAGGCAGGTGGAGAGAGAGGAGGGAGGGAGAGGGAGGGAGGGAGTAGAGACGAGGAGACGGGAAGAG